AAACCTGGGCAGTCATGTGGTTTACATCAACATGTACGATAATATCAGATCCGTGATAACTGATGTGTATAAATAGTATTGTCACGTTTTACAAACACATCACCTTTAATTATACACGCTTTTCTTTTTTTTTTTCTTTTTCTTATTAGCTAAACATTTGTTTAGAAATATAGGGGGAAAAAAGAAGTTGGTTAAACAATCCTCCGCTGAAGGAGAACAAAGTTGTGTTAACTTTGTTAAAGTTTTATATCGGTTTTACGTCATTGATTCCAACAATAAATACACCAGAGATGAAATCATCAAAATGGTGGATTTTTTTATCAGAAACATATTTGTTAAGTTTGGTCGAATGATATTTTAGCAAACAGTCGATTTTCCAATCTGTACAAATGTGCACCACTACTGGTGAACATGTTGTTGTACTCATATGAAGTAGAATTCAATCAAAACCTTCTCAAAAGCAAAAACAAAGCATCTTTCAAAGTTCTTTAATTTCACTTTCAGATATATTCACGATGTTCTATAAATTAAAAACCCACATTTCAAGGAGTGTTTACATCTCATATATCCCAGTGAACTTGAAATTCAGGATGCTATCGAAAGTAGTAGATCTGCTTCATATCTTCTTCTTTTCCTAGGTATTGACACAGATTAACCATTTCAAACTAGATTCTATGACAAACTTTCCAATTGTCGACTCCCCATTCCTCAGCTGTAACATTCCCTCTCCATAGCCTATCAAAAGCGTTTACATATCTAAGTTCATACGTTACGCTCGAGGATATTCAAACTATACGGACTTATTTATCAGGGGTTTGCTCCTTACACATAAACTTACTAACAGAGTTATGAGGAAGAACGACTGAAATAAATTTTACAGTCACCATCACAAATTGGTTAACTGATACGATATGTTGGTGTCTCAACTCACTAACAACATGTGTTCGGAGTCTTAGATCTTCAGATACCAGTAAAGTAGTGTAATCTGTAATTTTACCAATTGTATCCTATTCCGGATTGTGACATTTTTCCTGAGTGTGAATTTCATGGCGGGTAATTAGATATAAGAAGATGTGGTATGAGTGCCAATGAGACAACTTACTTACCAAGTCAAAATTTATAAAAGTAAACCATTATAGGTCAAAGTACGGTCTTCAACACGAAGCCTTGGCTCACACCGAACAGCAAGCTATAAAGGGCCCCAAAAAATTACTAGACAGTGTAAAACCATTCAAACGGGAAAACCAACGGTCTAATCTATATATAAAACGAGAAACGAGAAACACTTATGAACCACATCAACAAACGACAACTACTGAACATCAGATTCCCAATGCATGCATATCAGTAGAGGCTAACAATGTCGACGTTACGGGTCTCGCTCCTTTTGGAGTTCATTCAGTTTCCTCCGAGATTTTACGAGATTGAAACTTCGGTAAACTACTGTCGCCTTATTTTACTTAACTGTCATGATAAAAAAAAGTAGAAATTGTTTCTGGGAAGAGCCTAAATGTCTACTTTTGCATGTGTATCTTTATTTCTATAGTCATATATTGAAATTGAATCTTAAAGTTGACCTGAGATGGATTTTGCTATGATTGTATGTCCCTTTGCTCTTCGCATGATTCGGTTGCTCACCAAATTTTGTTTTCTTTTACCTGTTCGTTTGATAGCGTTTGTTTTTGTCAGTTTTTATGGACTTCCACTTTTTGAATTTGCTTTGGAGTATTTTTGTAAGCCTTTTTCATATCTTTACTTACATCTAGAAATTGACAATGAGGGTCGGTTGAGAACAAAACTTTAAGCCAAAACAGATTATCTTCCAATTGTGAACTTTCCATTTATATGCAGCAATATTTTAGCAGCGCATGTATATATAGTATATGATTATTAGTTGATACGATATTCCAGAGATTGTATCTCCTGTCACGATTTCCTTAATAGAGGATTGCTGCTTACAAGAAAATGATTACAAGGGAGGTTCCAAGTGGTGAAGTTGGAATTTTTACGGACGCCACCACGAGTTGGGTGATCGTTATGGAATATCTGTTTTAAAAATGACGACGGATATGTTCCAATTGTCGTAACCACAATCCCGTCCTCTTTTCGTCGAAATTTACCTACCTAATTATACTTATCACTAGGTTTTTACTTATATATATATGAGCAACACGACGGATCCCACATATAGAGCAGAATAAACTTACCATTCTGAAACTTCTGATATCACACCTAGTTTTTATTGGTGGGGTTCGTGTTGCTCAGTATTTAGTATTCTATGTTGTCTTTTTGTATCCTATTGTTTGTCTTTCTGGTCGTTTTTCGTTTTTTGCCCTGGCATTGTCAGTTTGTTTTCGACTTATGGGTCTGTTTTAAAACTATTAATTCGGCGAAAATTTCTTATTTCTTTGACGGCTTTTTGGTTTATATGGACCAACCTGAAACTGATAGGTCATTTCAAGGCTTACATTGTAAATTGTACAAGATGTATGTTAGATTCTAGTTGAACAACTACTAGTTAATCTGACAACGACGAAGAACGCTGTCTTTGTCAGGGTTTTGTCTAGGTTAAATGGCAGTAGTTAGTTCAAACGTATGTCGACACTTACGTGATTTGTTACTACATGTTCCACAAATATTCTCATAATTTTTTTTCTTATGCTCTGTTTTGCTATTATATAGTTTTTGTGCAATTTATTGGACTTTTGTTTTGTTCTAGTTAACAATTACAGATCACATATACTTTTCCTTCCATTTGAACTACTTTTGTCGAAAATCTGGCTATTGGATAGAGGAAATGTTTTTGATTTCCCAACAGTCATCAAATTATATGTAAATCTTGGTTTTTGTATGCAAAAGAAAGACGAAAGATACCAAAGGGACATTCAAGCTCATAACAACAAAATTATTATATTTTAATTTACCTGTGTAAAAGCCATTTTGTCCCAGGTTAAAGTTGTCTTTTTGACATTGTTCTACATTTTTTTTTAATTAATATTAAAATTGAGAATGGAAATGGGGAATGTGTCAAAGTGACAACAACCCGACTAAAGAGCATAAAACAGCCCAAGGCCACCAATGAGTCTTCTTCGGAGGCGGGCTTCAGCTGGCCCCTAAACAAAAATGTGTACTTGTTCAGTGAAAATGGACGTCACACTAAACTCCGAAACATATAAATGAACTAAAATAAAAAAAAAAACATACAAGACTAACAAAGGTCAAAAATGCGGCGGGGTTAAACATGTTTTTTGAGATCTCAATCAATTGTATTTATATTTTGTCATGGATCAAACTTATTCGTTCAGTGTTTGTTTAATTGTTTTTGTTTATATGTCTATTTGATCGAGTTTAGCCATTTCAATTGATATTTGTTAGTGTGTCTTTTTATGTTGTAATGTTACACTACTGTGTCAGGTTAGGGTGAAGGTTGGCGCCTGTTAAAACGTTTAAACCCGCTGCATTTGTATGCACCTGTCCTAAGTCAGAAGCCTGTTGTTCAGTGGTTGGCGTTTGTTGGTGTGGTTCATTAGAGTTTCTCGTTTCTCGTTTTTTATATAGATTATACCTTTGGTTTTCCTGTTTGAATTGTTTTATACTAGTCATTTTGGGACCCTTTATAGCTTGCTTTTCGGTGTGAGCCAAGGGTTCGTGTTGAAGGCCGTACTTTTAACCTATACTGTTTACTTTTTACACATTTTGACTTGGATGGAGAGTCTCATTGGCACTCATATCACATCTTCTTATTTATATCATGAGCATTGTTTAATTGTGTAATGGAAAATCTGGCATGACTTTTCAATCAGATGAAATATTTTTAACTTTTATAATGTGTCTATACGGACTGAGTTGGCTTAAAGAACGCTATGTTTTAACAAAATGGATATATTAAGAAGTTACATGTACGCTACCTGTGTCTTTTGATAAGTTTGTATCTAGATATGAAACCTTGTTGTAATTTTAGTCGAATTCCTAAATATTAATCCGATGAGAAATTTTAAGGTTAAAACTCTTGCAAATTTGATATAGATGAATTCAGCTTTTCTCTGTAGCTTTTCTCTACCCCTTTTTTCCCTAAAGCTCTTCACGTATTCAAGTAGTTATACGTCCTTTCCATATTTTTGGTTTGAGCTTCCTAGTGAAGGTAAGCCCAGAAAAGTTCGAACGCACCAAATTTTGTATGATCTCAAAGACAAATTATGAGCCATTTTTATTTTTTAGCATATCGATAGCACTCCATATGTACTGCTAGTCCCCAACTGTTTCATCAGTTAGTCAAATTTCTTCGTTTGAGCCTTCCAGAAAGGGGATGGACGCAAAAATTCATATACATGTAAAAAGTAAAATAACAAAAAAACCGAACTCCAAGGAAAATTCAAATCGGAAAGTCCCTTATCAAATGGCAAAATCAAAAGCTCAAACACATCAAATGAATGGAAAACAACTGCAGTGTTATTTTCACTTCAAATCACCTCAAAAGAGTTATGTTCTATTACTGTTATTTCGAAACTTGCCGATTTTTTTGTTGTCTCAAGAGTCCCACCTTATTAGAATATTGCTTAACTGCCACTTATAGCATGTTTCTATGAGTGTGTATTCAGGTCGTGGCTACTTGTCATCAGTTTATGTATAGCAGCTTGATGGAAGATACAAGCATGAGTTTAATAATTTCGCATGATTGTGTCTCTTTTCGCTTGGAGGGCACCTCAGTGGACTGTTTTAATAGATCATTAACTGTGTGTAGATTGTTTTTCATTGCTCATCAACCTTTATTTATAATATTTTATTTGGACTTTTAACCATTGTTTTTAGACTTTCGAGCGCCGCTGATGAGTCTTGTGTAGACGAAACGCGCGTCTGGCGAATGAATCATAAGTCTGGTATCCTTAAATTAAACGCAAAATGGTTGGAACCGGATACCATAGTATATACGTGTATACAGTTGAACAATATCGTAATTACTTTTCTTTGAAACTGTCCCAAGTGTAAATAAAGAGAATTGCTTTATAAATACTGTTTATTTCAGAGTTAACTTTATTGAATCGATTTGTATCCAATGTTTGTAATTGTTTTAATCCTCTATCAAATGTGGTTGACCTTTTAAAAAGATTATTGATTTTAAAACAATTAAACCCATGTATCTACATCCTTTTGCTGAAATAAGCGCTTGAAAAGAGGAATTTCCTTTTGGGGATTCTTTATGTACCAACATGATTCTGTTACATGTGACATCATAGGCATTGACTTCAACAGTTTAAACTGTCTGATAATAAACTGTTTTCCAACATTAGGTCGGACAACTATTTCAGTTTTAGAAAAGGTTTCAATTTCCATTCCAATGAACCAACCTATGAATAAAAAAATAATAACAAATTAAACAAAATGTTTGCCAAAATTGGATATATGCAGCCAAAATTATGACGTAGTAGCTATATTATACAACACGTTGGACAATAAGCATTAAGTAATATAAATCAATCTATAGACGACCACCTTATCAGTATTATTAGTTTAGTCATCCAAACCTCAAATATCATTCTTAACACCCAATGCAATACTACTAAAGGTTTAATGTAGAACACACACACACACACAAAATATTTGAGGAATTTCATTCAGCAGAGTTAAAATGAACATGGAAAATGAAATATGGCTTGTTCTTGTGTTATTAACTCCTCCTACAGTTTTAACATAGTGCCTTCAAGTTTTCTAAAATATTTGCAAACCCACTTAAAATGTAAAGCCTGTTTTGAATTTATAGTTTTGGGTGATTTTTTTAGTTTTTGAATGGTTTACTTTTGTAACAATACCCCTCTATTGTTTCTTTCCGACTCATTGCTATCGTATATATCAAATTTCATTATTTATAGGGAGATGAACCTGATATTCCACCTGGAGAATTTATTCATTCCTGCTTGCTCATTATTGGTCTTTGAGGTTATACAAAATATATATATAGATACATTTATAACTTTCTTTACGTCTATGGTATAAGACAAACTGTCAAACATTCTAAAAAGAAATGTATCAAACATATAGCACAAAAACAAAAACTTTTTTGAATTTTCCGTAAAAACGAAAATATTTGGCCATTTAAAAGATACTTATCATCTGTCAAATACTTTTATTTGTAGAATTGAACCAAGGCATTAATGAGTAATCATACTGGTAATTTGGGAATAAAAACAATACTTACGTAGTGGTCCAGTAGCGTTAGCGATGTTGCTTTGTTGTATATAAAGATGAAGTTCTAAACCAGATAATCGTACTTCAGAGGGGGAGACTGTTACAGTTAGATTTATTAACGGAAATCTTGTTGTTCTTCTGTAATTGATGTCCCTCCATACTCTTGTCGCATTCCAAGTGGCATTCGATACTCTCAATAAGTTTGAATCCAGATATTGATTTTCTGTTTCTTCCCTTAACTCCACAGATTTTATGTAATCTTTTTCTATTCTCCGAATTGTAGTTTTACCAAATATTACATGAATTGATTTTCGTGGCTCTGAAATAGGAAGTTGAATAATTTTAAAGATTTTAATTTATATTAAAAGTCTTTCACCATGTTAATTTTTTAACATTGTATTACGTGTAAAGTTTTACATAAATGGAAAATGTGTTTATACAATCTTCTCGTCTATTCTCATATTTGTACTGGAAGTTTGAAATTCTCAATCTTTTGTCCCTGTTCCCTTGTTGCTGTTTTTCTTGTCTTCTTTCTGTCATTAGTGTAATTGTATACGTTGCTTGTGAACTCTTATAAACTTTGAAAGAATGACGTCGTCAAAACAGGTATTACAGCTGATATCTTGTAGATTCAATAAGCACAGAAAATTCCTTAGTCTACTATTGACATGTAAAAGCTATAACTCCATCTAGTTAGAAAAGACTGGTCTTTAATCGATATAATAGCATGTTCAAATTAAACAAAACACACATTTGACATCTTACTTTTCAAAGGATGTTTGCTGTATCAAACCAGATTCATTTGTCAAATGTGTTTTTTTTTATAACTTTTATGCAGGCAAAAATATAAAGCTGGCAGTAATTTATTGGAATTAGATATGTATTGTATTTGATTATATGTATATCAAACTAAAAATAACGTGTGAACATCAACCGACTTGGAACGTTGCTGACGTGTCATGATCATCGTATACATTGATGACGTTTACGTAATCAAATAATTAAATAAAATATATTCTTTACTATAAAGCTGTACAATTGTTTCTATTTCATGTAATATCATGTTATTTTTCGTTTTTAGTTTTCAACTATATTTGGTTTTTTACATAATCAGATTCAGGCTGTAGTGGTTTCCCATCATATAGTGTTAACTATTAAATTGTATAGATTTTTCAAAAATTTAAATATCTTACTTCTTGGACTGTATAAGAACTGATATCTCCCTGTGTCGTTTGGATTCAAATGCATACAGAGAGGTACTGTTGATCCTTTCAGGTGTAAGAAGAAATTTGGAAATCCGTCGTTTAAAACTACAGGATAAAACATCAAAGATATATCAAAGGCTTATAACTTAAATGAGATAGGATATCACAACAAAGAGGCTTTCGTCAGAAAAATGGCCTTTAGTGCTGGTCGTAAGTTGATGTATGTCATATTTGTTTTTTCGTTTATTTTTTAAAATCAAGCCGTTGTTTTTTTGGTTTGAATGGGTTCCCATTTGTCATTTCGTTCCCTTTTATATCTATATATATACGGTATGTTATTGTTCATTGTTGAAGGCAGCGTGCACCATTTATTCGACTGGCGTATATAATTGATGTGCTGAATTAGTTGTTTGTAAAAGCATCTTGGCCTAACATATTCTGTCATATCTTCTTGATTATTTTTCGGTAGCGATAGTACCCCTTAAATATTTCAGAGTTAACCTCGTGGGTTACTACTAAAACGCTTAAACGTCCCAGTTATGAAATACTAGTAAACATTTTTGCATAAAGCTCCAAATGAAATTTAATTTTTCAATTATATTTACATTTTATGGTTTAGATAAAAAGAATTAAATACTTAAGTCAATATATATTGGTTAAAATGAAAAATAATTTTGAATACAAAAAGCAAGGATTTTTTGACAAATCTTGCTGTTATCTGTCCCGCTTAACAAAGATTTGATCCTTCGAATATCCTCGTTACCAAACATTTTTCAATAGGACCACATTTCATGTAATTACTACCTTTACATCTCCTACAATGTTATTACTGGACCCCATGTGTTGATCGGTGTATAGAAATATTGTCTCCATGACATATCTCATTCCGGCAGTAAAACTCTTGCTTAAATGTTACGTTCGTGTGGCTCTATGGTATGCATAAACACGCAGCCACGTCCTAATCGGAATTGGGATGTTAACTCTGATACCTCAATGTAGAGACAGTGTCATGCTCTCTGCGTGTTAAAGAATATTTGCTTCGACTCCCTTGTGTTGACATTTGCAAGGCAACAAGTGTTGTCACTATCCAACATACCCTCATTATCCAGTGGCAGTCAACATGATAAGCCATTCATCCCAGTTGATTCCTGTCTAGAAGAACCTACCTATTGTTTAATTGTTAATTTGTTCTCGATCTGAACCTGCATGAAATATTTGACACAATGAATCAAACCTATCTATAAATGATAGACTGGGTCTTAAACTGTCAAAGGACTCCTTACGGAGAAACATTGTCGATGGTAGTAGGTAGTGTCACAGCAAAGTTCCTCTAACATCAAACAATTTTCACGACTTGGATAAAATCCAGTCATATTTTGTTGTTGAAGGTGAAGATAAAAATGGTTTCAATAAACCACAATATAGGCAGTGACCACTTGTCCTTCGTTGTATACTAGTGTAATCAGTAGCGAGTCAAATTACTTGTATACAGTCTTGAATGCAAGACGTTGTTCCGTTGGTTATTGGTGATACATAGAAATTCAATTCAAATTTGAATACACATACATATGTTGTTCCTTTCATTGTAGATAGTATCCCCTCTGACATAAGTGTTTTTCCTTCATAATTTGATAAAAACTTTCTGCTCTGACACTGGGGACGTTTTATAAAGTCTGGGTAGCAGCTGCAAGAAAAAAAAATGAAAACAACACGCCATACATTCCATGCGTCCGAAGCGCTATTCTGGACTGACCTTTTGAGTACCGAATGAGTGGGGAAATGTATATCCAATATGCAGGTGAAGTTGGTATATTGCTACTAAGGTGGGGGAAATTGATAATTTCAAAATTAAAGTCGCTCGTTTGTCATAGATTCTGGTACTGATATGACCGCTTATGTCAAATTCAAGGTATAAGTTTAAAAATGAGGCAGAGGAAGCCGTGTCTGTTGTTTCTTTAATTTCTAGTTCTGGAGGATATATTAATGGAACCCAATCAGAAAAGTTTGGATTGTTAATGGAAAGAACATCATTAATATATCTGAATGTGAAGTTAAATGATCTGGCTTCTTTGATCTTCTTGTTTTTGACAAGTGTCTGAAGGAACTCCTACTCATATGAAAATAAGAAAAGGTCGGCAAAAAGCGGCGCACAGTTCGTTCCCATAGGAATGCCTACAAATTCAACAAATATGTTGTCAATAAGAAACTATAGCGTATGCTACCATTTTTATATTGAAAAGCATTGTGGATTACTTCTTTAGATGATTTTTCAATTTCACATGAGGAATGGTGGTATACATGGTTGAAAAATCTAAAGTTTTGATAGAAATAATTTCAGAGAAAGATGGAGATTTATAATTATCCAGAAGTTCTTTCGAGTTTTTAGAATCCACATATGGTTAATACCACTAAGCGAGTAAACAGTTTCACAGTATTTCTGAAGACCCTCTTTCACTGCGGACAGAATTTATGTCAATTTAATGGACAATTCCTTTGTAGAACATGTAGATGATCCGGCAATGTACCGTTGTTTGAACGGAATTTTGTGAAGCGTAGGTATCGAATACAAACAAGGAAAGTCCTCAGATTTGCTGTTCAAAGTAATTTTCATTGGCGCCATGAAGGACTTATGATTCGCCAAAATATCATCCTTGTCAAATGATATGTTTTTTTATGTGGGACTTCCTAAGTGCTCATTTATTCTTAATTATTTTACAAGACACTCGTAGTAGTACGATTTACATACAAAGGCAATGTTATTTGAAGCTTTGTCTGCAGGAACAGCAACATATTTATCGTGGAGAGATGATAAACATTTCACAGCTTCTTTGTCTCTGAAAACGGACTTTGGTCGATCATTCACACAGTTTTACAACTTATAAATTCGACGTTTTATCAGAGATCTGATTGTTTTGACCCATTCTGTCAAAGTGTCCAGATCAACTTCTTCTCGTTTAGACCATGATCTGGAGTAGTCCTCAGTGGATCCATAATTATTCAGAAGTTATGGTTCCAATTGATGTGTTTGGGCTCTCTAAACTGAGGACTAAGATATATTACCTTTCGGAGATGTTCATGTTGAATTATGTTTAGATCACCAGTAATAACATGGCCAGAGGGGCTGTAAATATAAGGCGAGTGGGAACAGTCACATTTCAGAGGCTTTATTAGGTATTCTGCTAACTCAAGGTCCTGCAATGCTTGCTTATAATTAAATACTTTAGGTGCAATGGTTTTTGTGTAACTGTAGGATACAATAGGAACAGACTGATTTTGAAAATTAAGTGGAATATTAGATGTTACCTCCTTGTGATGAAGAACGTTGCTGTTGTTGATTGCATCAATTGCTTTATTTGAAAACTGAACTGGAAGGAATTTCCTCTTTTCATCAAGTAAAGTTTTTGATCTTACTGGTTTAAAAAGACGGAAAATAGCTTCATCACTAATTGTAATGAGCAGTCTGTATATTGGAGAAAATGTATTGATGCATCCCTTATCAAGTGCATAATCTCTCAAACATTTTAGAAAATTAACAGACAATGAAAAAAGAATAGTTCTAATGTTTATGTAACCCTAGCGTGAAAGAAGGTCATCAAGGCTCCCAGAGGGCGATCTAGATTTGGAAGACTTTTTTACATTAGGCCGATGGTAATGTTTTTTGCCCATAGACATAGCAGTGAATGTGCAATTGACTTTTATTTACCCTTGCACTGGTATAAAAAGCAGGAACACATGTCTTTATATTTTAAATGTTGGTGGAAAACTATAGCAATTCTTTATATAAAAGTTACAGAGAATTTGACTGTTTCGAACAGAGACTTTACCCTTCGTAAATATGACTGATTCATTTATTTTATTGATATGCTGCATAGACTTGAATTAACAAAAGGTTTGTTACATGACACACATAAACAAGTACTTTGAATTAAAAAAAAATTTCCATACCTTGAAAAAATGGATCGAAGATTGGTATCGTCTTTACTGACATATCTGAAAAGATACACGTAGAAACAATTGTTTAGGCCCTAAGGTTTGACAGTCAACTTCAGAATTGAGCGTTTTGCAATTTTAGTGTTATGTTAGGTGACTTAAAGAATTTTGACAAAATCAGATTTTTCAGATGATACTCTCTTGTTTGGATTTAATAAATGAAGACTGGTCAAAGTTCTAAAAGTGATTTTTTTTTCTCTTTTTGTATTCAATTGTACATTCAGGCATGTATTACCCAGCCAGGTGGTTGTCGTTTGTTGCTGTATATCATATTTGTTTTTCGTTTATTGTTTTGTGCATACATCAGGCCATTAGTTTTCTCGTTTTAATTGATTTATATTTAAATTGTAATTTCGGGGCATCATGTTGAAATGTTGAAGGTCGTACGGATTCTTGGTTCTGCAGATACCCTTTGTGACTAACAGTAAACTTGCAGAGTTATCGACCCGGTGTTAAAAATAACGTTACCGATACCATACAACACAAAACGTACCGCAATGAGACAAAAACCCAACGACAAAATTCGCAAAAAGACATATAGGGGTAACATACAATCTTCAATAATAGACAGGTGTTTTCACAATATGCAGAGCCTTTAATCGTTTCTACTTCATAAAAGTTTTGAATTAATCTAAGTAAAACGATCTGTCTTTAAAATGCATCCTACCTAGTCATTGTGTTCGAATGCTAGATGTTTGGATTCAATAAACTCATCATAGATACCAGGATTGAAATATTGTACGCCAAACTCACATTTTGTCTACAAAAGACTAATCAGTGACGCTCGAATGAAAAAGTTTAAAAGGCCAAAAAAAGTACTAAGTTGGAGAACATTGAGGACTCAAAATTCCTATATGTTCTCCCGTTTATTTTTATTGTGGTCCTGTCATGTGATGTTGTCGTTTTGGTGTTGTGTTTGACGTTGCCATAAAAGCGGGAGGTTTGGCATGCCACAAAACCAGGTTCAACCCACCATTTTTTTCTTAAAATGTCCTGTACCAAGTCAGGAAAATGGCCATTGTTACATTATAGTTCGTTTCTGTGTGTGTTACATTTTAATGTTGTGTTTTTGTTGTGTCGTTGTTCTTCTCTTATATTTGATGCGTTTCCCTCAGTTTTAGTTTGTAACCCGGATTTGTTTTTATCTCTATCGATTTATGAGTTTCGAACAGCGGTATACTACTGTTGCCTTTATTCGACAAATACAGCTAAGGTAATCCATCCCTGGGGTATAAAATTCTTAGTATTTCAAGTAATTCTACTTGTTTTTTTTTAAGTAAGACTGCTAAGAGTTTTGTCTTTTATTTAAGGTCGATTATCACTATATTTTTCCTCAAATAGAAATCATTGTAACATGGATATAATAGGTTTTTAAAATCTCATGATATGAAGGATTTTTCCCCTCTGATTTTTATAATGAAAAAGTTATCAGATAACGGTTGCATTACGTGAAACATTTTACGCCGGTTTGGTCTGTTATCTGATGACGACTGTTCATTTTATATAATTGCATGCTTTTGAAACACATTTTTAGGGTAACATCTCAATATTTATTATTACAGATACTTACAAAAAATATTTTTACCCAGGCAAGAAACCTCGTCAGGTTATGTTTTCAGAATTATTTTCAGATGTGTTGTAATTGTATATATGTAAATTGTAAGACGTCAGACTGAGCACCTGAGTTCAACCTCGTTTCAAGTTTGATTCGTTGTACTCAGTCTTTAGTGTTCTATGTAGTGAATTGTATACTATGGTTTTTCTGTTTATTTGTCGTTTTTTGTTTTTTTTTTTACATGGTGTTGCCGGTTTCTCTTCGACTTATGCATTTTGATTGTCACTTTGTATCGTCTGGCTCACACCGAACAGCAAGCTATAAAGGGCCCCAAAAATGACTAGTGTAAAACCATTCAAACAGGAAAACCAACGGTCTAATTTATATAAAAAACGAGAAACGAGAAACACTTATGAACCACATCAACAAACGACAACCACTGAACATCAGGTTCCTGACTGAATTGAATCACTATGACAATGTCTGCAGAAAATTCGCCACTTATGTCTATATTTTGGTAAATTAACATAAGTATAGTTTTCTGTAAAATCAAAAATGTTTACAAAGCATGTAGAACGCCAACTGTCACTAAATTAAAATCCTGGATCTGGGTTTCTGTCTTCGTTCTTTAAACATGTACGAACTGGACATTTTATTTTTGCAAATTACATATACACACCCTCACCAGCAATTTTATTCTTGATCTAATGGTCTTTTTAAAACATTTATCTATGTATTTGAATGCATAAGAATCGTAATTTTTTTTTATATCCATAATGCACAATTTTACAACAAAGCACTTGTAAACAACATTTCACCAGGTTTCATTAATTTTCGATATTGACTTCACGAGTTAACAATATCAAAAAACAGTTTATAAGAATTGATCACATAAAAAGCTAGGATAAATTTTTCTAGTATGAAAAAAGATAATTGTAAAAAGAAGTTGGTTTCGATTCCGCCATGTAACACGGCATCTAGTAAGATTTTCTGAGAACGGGTAAGAAATCTGTTATACGCAATGAAATATATGAATAGAATTTAAAACATGAAACTCTAATGTTTTAATGCAAAAGACCCCTATAAATTCGGTTTTCAAAAGCAATCTTTAATAACAATTTTAAAATTATTAACACTTAGTAATGATAAGAAATATTACATCTCGTTTGTCCGCCTCCACCTCCACTAAGTCCACCTCCAATACCTCCACTAAGACCAGCTGCAAAAACTCCACCTAGTCCACCTCCAATACCTCCACCAAGTCCAGATCCAGAACCTCCACTAAGTCCACCTCGTATACCTCCACTAAATCCACCTCCAAGACTTCCACTAAGTCCACTACCAACTATACTTCCTTTAAGTCTCGAACCTAAACCACCATGATTATTGACTGTAAAATATACAACTTAGTACATGTTTTAAGAATGACTAAATGTAATAACTATTTAGCTGTTTTGTTTCTTTCTTTTTTCTTGTCAGTACACCTGTGTTGTTACATTTTAGACAATGAGCGAAGGGTAAGTCTTAAAAGCCGAATTGAAACTACAGTATTGTTAGTTCATAAACATCAATTTTACTTTATTTTTTCAAATGAAGCTATAAAACACTGATAAGTATCTACATTTAAGAAAATGCCATGAATAAAGGTTCCTCGAGGAAATAGACGAATCTTTCCTTTGACATCAACGAGATAAGATTTAGTCTTATATTCAGATGCTTTTTGGATAGGTCTTTTTATATTTTTGTTTTGTTTTGTTTTTTGTCTTGTCTTTTTTTTGGGGGGAGGGGGTGGGAGGGTGAGAGGGTGAGGGGGGTTTATTACTTAATTTATTTTTTGAATGTTATTTGCTATGATATTAATAAACTGTTATCACAGAGATATGTCTCGCCTTTTTGTAATTTTGATAATGCAAATGTTGAAATTAAAATAGCAATACTTTATCATGTAAGTTATGCAAATATTCAAAGTCGATAAACCATGACTGAAGGTACATGGCTAAACAATCTCCATGGAATGAGATGTGCCAATGCTAATACAACTGCATACCAAATACCACTGACTTATTATAAGTTGTTCCCTTTAAACAAACCTAAACACAAACATTAACTTGTGAACTATGTAAAAGTTTCAAAGTCAATGAATCATGATCAGGGGTGGGGCTATATAATCTCCATGGAAACGATATTTGCAAATGCCAATACATTTCATTACCAAATATCATTGACTTAACATTAGTGGTTCATCTTAAACTGACCTATCACAAACTAACACATGTAAACTAAGCAAAAGTTTCAAAGTCAATAGACCATGACTGAGGGGGCGGGGCCAAATATTCTCCATGGAAATGAGATGTGCTAATGCTTATACAACTGAACACCAATTAACATTGGCCTACCACTAATGGTTCCCCTTGAACTGACCTAATCACAAACTACATGTTAACTTAGCAAAATTTTCAAAGTCTATAGACCATGACTTAGGGGGCAGAGCCAAATAAATGAGATATGCTAATGCTTATACAACTGCATACCAAATATCATTTACCTACCACTAGTGGTTCCCCATTTATTGACCTAATCACAAACTAATACATGTAAACTATGAAAAGTTTCAAAGTCAATAGACCTTGACTGAGGGGGCGGGGCCAAATATTCTCCATGGTAATGAGATGTGCTAATGCTAATACAACTGCATACCAAATATCATTGACCTACCACTAGTGGTTCTCCATAAATTGACCTAATCACAAACTAATACATGTAAACTATGAAAAGTTTCAAAGTTAATACACCTCGACTGAGGGGGCGGGGCCAAATAATCTCCATGGTAATGAGATGTGCCAATGCTAATACAACTGCATACCAAATATCATTGATCTACCACTAGTGGATCACCATGAACTAGACCTAATCACAAACTAATACATTGTTGACGCCATCGCCGCCGTCGCCGCCGTCGCCAACGCCGGAAACAGCATACCTATGTCTCGCTTTTTGACTCCGTCAAGGCGAGGCAAAAATCAACAGTAATGTCTCAGTCATTACAGCTGAACGGACGTGCTCGGTCAGATCCACTTTACCCGCAAACAACGATATTGGACTACTGATGGATGGCTCAACGACGAACTACTTTTTTTGATGACAGTAACCAATTCAATGCGTACAGCCTGCATTTCGTCTTGATGTAAACGTCCGCGTCAGCATACACCTATTATGGATGGGGGAGTGTTATGCCGTCTGATGTCCGAGGACCTGTATCCGTGCGTTGGATTACGAGACCGCAATTTCACTGTCTCACGACATTGGTCCTGATAATGCTTCCTGTCATCATTATTACTTAGTCTTAGACTCAGTGACCAGTACTTCATCATTGTGGTTGGCGGGCTTCCAGATGATCAACTTGGCTAGAAAACAGCCGTTGTGAAGACCGTAATACTTCAAACCAAACAACAAAAGTAAACAAACCAAAATCTATCTACGTAAAACCAAAATGGCCGCCTTTATCCAGCTTGACAACAACAAAATATTTAAATGCTCATCAAACGCCTTCGGGCACCGAGCCAACCATGCGAGGGCTTACCAGCCAGTCAAGGTCGTTAAAAACCACCAAGTAGTATGATATTAATTTAGTATGTACTTACTGTGTGTGCTAAACTGTCTCGATCGACGGAGCTGAGGTGCGGTAACTACCATAGATGTAAAAGGTGTGACGAACTGGTACTGAAAATGCATATTGTGTGTCATTTGTGGTCAGTACTCTTATATTAAAACGAAAAACCGATGTATGCACTGAACAATTATATACATTAAAACAATATAATTTATGATGATTTATTTGAAAACAATGAAGTTATTGTGAAAAGGCGTTAAAGAATTTAGTATAATTCTTTCGTGTTTTGAACAAAGTAGAAGCAAACCATTTTAATGTCGTTTGGTCGAAATGTTTTGAAATACGATACTTTTCAGATTAGACAAAAATGATGAAGTATTGTATAAACCACATTGTTGTGTAAATTTTTTGGAAGAAACGTACTTTGTTCGGTTTGTGCTTGTATACCCTGATATAATTTTTTTTTGGAATGAAAACAAATATATCCCTATAGCAAAACATGTGTCGTTGTTATGCCAACTTTTGAGAATATTAAACAAAATAAGAAATTAAGTAACATACCTGTATTGCCAAGGATATGATTTTAGCTTTTATTTCATCCTTCTTTGTACTTGTAATATCACCATCGATATCTCGAATCAATTGTTTTATTGTTAGATAGGCCCACATTTTTTCCGTTATCATTGCTAAATCAGTATCAGTGGTTATTGCCTTGAGGTCAGGAATTGGTCTCGGTTTCCATGGTAAATCTATGTATGCATCGTTCCAACCTTTGACGCGGGGTACAATGTAAGAACCTTTAGATCTCATCTGACCTGCAACTATCAATTCGGAACCGGCAAAATAAGATGGATAGTGGTTCTGGGTTAATGTATTCATGTCAATGTCACCTAAATAATCAAACGTGACATTTTTTAAAAGAACCGATGAAATTTCGGAATATAATCCCTTAATCTGCAAAGCAGCATCCGAATCTTGATATATTCGTCGTGCGAACCCATTATTTTGTAAAGACATCTGTTTAAGAAAATTGAAATTCACATTATTTCCGAAGCCTAAGCTAAAGATAGGAAGTTTAGCCTCATTGGAATTTCTTACATTTTTTAAAATTGTATCAGTTCTTGTTTCTCCTGTAGTTGGAAGTCCATCTGTCAAAAACATTAAAATAGTAGACCTTTGCGTATCCAGGTATTTCGTTAGTAATTTTATTCCGTCTATTACTGCAGTGTTAATGTTTGTACCTACAAAATAAAATTACAAAAGAATACAATAAGCTTTTTCTTGTTTTTATATCTATATAGCGTTATAGACAACAATCTAATGGCCTTTTATAGCTGACCATGCAGTATGGGCTTTGCTCATTGTTGAAGGCCATACGGTGACCTATAGTTGTCAATTTCTGTGTCATTTCGTCTCTTATGGAGAGTTGTCTCATTGGCAATCATACAACATCTTCTTTTTTATAAGAAAGAAAAGATCTTCCAGGCTGGTCTAGTTTTTTTTATGTATCATCCTCCTCCTCACGGGTATGACCATTTTTATGGAATTAATTTTGTGGTACACTGTAGTAAGTACGCCCGTTGATAAAGCCTTTTAAATTTGAATTCAAAAGAGCCAAAGATACCTTTTAAAGATTTTCCGCATTTCTAAACATATCCCTATCACCAAAATCTTGTTTAGCCTTGCATATTGCTGTTGAAAACATTTTTATAGACTATGTTAGACATCAGCATTTAAGGACACAAATAAAACAAAATGTTAGATTAAGAGACAATAATGGATACAAAAAAAAACTCAAAATACATTTTTCTAAGCTTAAGAATGTCCTTCCTTTTTTGCCTTTTAGATGTCTTGTACTACTGTAAATTATTTTACATCTATCCAAATATATATTACTGCGTCTATAGTTCCTATATGCAATATCATCTGATTATACATTTAGCTTGATTGATCGATCGATTGTTGGTGTTTAACGCCGCTTTTAGTGCTGTTGGCTATATTTTGGCGGCCATTTATGGAATAGGCCGGAGTGCCCGCAGAGAAAAAAACGTCCTACTGCAGGAAAACGGACAATCCTAGTCAGTTTAGATTGGAGTCGAGCGCACCTGTTACAGGCGGGGCTCGAGCTCACAACCTCAGTCTTGACGACCTAGTTATACGGTAGATAAACTATTAGACGACTCGAACACCGAGGCCCCGATACCCTTATAATGTGATATAATGTTATAACTACCTCATATTGCACAGAATGCAATAATAGTGTGATTGAATTTTTTTAAGATGTCCCAGTGAATAAAATAAATAAGGATTCTATTGATTCAACATCAGATTTGTCTTAGGGTGGCATAGATACTCTTTCGATTGATAGACAGTGTAAAACGCTACTATACGCACTCTTTGCTTATTTGTGGCTGTCAGTTTTGATTGGTGGAGAAAGCCGGAGTGCATAGCGAGAACCTACTACCATTGGCAGAAAAACTGGTAATCCTAGTCATTGAATATTGGAGTCGATTACCATATGCATAGTTCGAACACACAATACCTACTACCATTGGCAGAAAAACTGGTAATCCTAGTCATTGAATATTGGAGTCGATTACCATATGCAAGGTTCGAACACACAATACCTACTACCATTGGCAGAAAAACTGGTAATCCTAGTCATTGAATATTGGAGTCGATTACCATATGCAAGGTTCGAACACACAATACCTACTACCATTGGCAGAAAAACTGGTAATCCTAGTCATTGAATATTGGAGTCGATTACCATATGCAAGGTTCGAACACACAACACCTACTACCATTGGCAGAAAAACTGGTAATCCAAGTCATTGAATATTGGAGTCGATTACCATATGCAAGGTTCGAACACACAACACCAGTGTTGACAGGCCCCACGATGAACATTAGAAATCGAAATTTTGCTTTTAAAAAAATTAATAAGAAAATTGTCAGTGCGTGAATGTTGTAAACACAATCACTCTGTTTAAAGCTGTTACTCAAATGTATATCGATATGTCATGCAACTGTACAGATGTCAATAACAAAAACTATTTCTGTATCAGTAGATTTACGTCTACAAGCATGCGTTGAAACACTTTATGGAAGTATATTTCGTCTAAAAGCTTAGATGTACACAAACTCTTCTATAAATAACTTTTGTTATTTAATCCCAACGTTCACAGTTTAAATTTAACAAAACGTCGTCAAGATTGTCATTTTACATCACTTCCAACGATACATCATACTTCACTTTGAACTGTTTGGTACTCCAGTATTAAATGTTATATTATTAATTGTCCTAAAGACGCCATAATTATTGACGAAACATGTAGGCTTAAGGAAATAATTACTTTGCGATAAATTGCGAGAGTAGTTGTCTTTAATTTCGTTTGAAAATAAAAAGGAAATATTGAGTACTCAATAGCTAGTTCCACGACGTCACATATCAATATGTCTGTCCCTAACCGGAAAATTGTTCAATGTCTTTTTATACCACTCTCATTTAAATTCCATCATTTAAAGGATTTACTTATGGTATCAGATTGTGTTGTATCTTGTCATATGCTTAATATTTTTTCTCTCGGTATAGATGGGTAAATAGCTATATATATTGTATACTGTAGAGACATGGAACTTCTTTTTATGACTGTAAAAATCTCACAACAGATCGTGTTGTTTATGTTGTCCAAGAACTGTATATTCCAACTCTCTTTTTATTTATCTAAGAAATATTTTTTACACATGTCTCCTAAACACACTTTTTGTTGCTATTCGACATCTCAGATAGTACATAAACATGTGTTCTAGTTTTCCATATGCTATGTAATATAGAAACCTAGAATTGTTATATTTTCACGTAAAAGGAATACATTTAAGGTATATAGATGGAATATTTGCGTTCAATCTATGAGCTCCTTTATGTTCTTATATGCAAGGAAATTTTGCATTGTAGTTGAAGGCATACTTGAAGGGGTTATGATTTTTGAAGGCAGAGAAGAGAAGGAGATGAATTAATAGTGTTATCACTTAACAGTATGGCATAAATTTACGGAAATGATCATCATTTGTATACTAAAAAAATAACTGTGTGCCCGTTTACGTCCTTTAAGCCAATTTTATGCTATTCTAGTCTTTTCATGCTAACAAAATGCATGACTTTTGTATAATAAATGTTGATTATTGTCATTTTGCTTAGTTTTTTCTGCTACTTATTCTTACATTGGACTCGGACTTCTTTTAAACTGAATTTTACTGTGCGTATTGCTGTGTGTTTGTTTATTCCACATTGGCTAGGGTTAGTTTCTTCTGCTACTTATTCTTACATTGGACTCGGACTTCTTTTAAACTGAATTTTACTGTGCGTATTGCTGTGTGTTTGTTTATTCCACATTGGCTAGGGGTATAGGGTGGGCCGGGGGAGGGTTGAGATCTAACAACACATGTTTAATCCCGCTGCATTTTTGCGCCTGTCCAAAGTCAGGAACCTCTGGTCTTTGTTAGTCTTGTATGTTTTTTTTTAAATTTTGGTTCATTTGTATGTTTCGAAGTTAAGTGTGACGTCGATTTTTGCTGAAGTAGTATACATTATTGTTTAGGGGCCAGTTGAAGCCCGCTTCCGGGTGCGGGATTTTCTCGCTGTGTTAAAGACCCATTGGATGACTTGGGCTGTTTTCTGCTCTTTGATCGGGTTGTTGTCTCTTTGACGCATTCCCCGTTTCTATCCTCAATTTTATAAATAACAATTCCAAACTTTAGAAAACGTTTGGCATGACGGGTGCCACATGTGGAGCAGGATCTGCTTACCCTTCCGGAGCACCTGAGATCACCCCCAGTTTTTGGTGGGGTTCCTGTTGCTTAGTCTTTAGTTTTATATGTTGTGTCATCTGTACTATTATTTGTCTGTTTGTCTTTTTATTTTTGGCCATGGCGTTGTCAGTTTGTTTTCGATCTATGAGTTTGACTGTCCCTCTTGTATCTTTCGTCCCTCTTTTGGAAAACGATGCACAGTTATAGGGTTATATGGTATAAAAGGATGGAAATTAGCCTTTTTACACTTTGACCCCACCCCCCCTAAAAAAAATAAAAAATTAAGAAATGTTTTGAAATCATTTGATTTTTAACTTTATATAGCTTTTGGATATTTTGTGTATTAGACCAACAAGGTAGCCTAATGCATTATTATAAAAAAAAGCTGCATAAATGCATTTGAATCAAAGTTTTTAAAGTTGAAGAAATTGATCAATACTAAACTACATATTTTGAACCACCAAAATTGTGTCTTTGATCAAACATTGGTGTATAGCAGATCACTGAAAAAAAATACAGCAGTATTCAATAAAATTCCTTAACTTATGGATTGATTTTGGACGTAATTTATTTTTAGAAGTTCAATAAAGGCAACAGTAGTATACCGCTGTACATTAGTCATAAATCGATTAAGCGAAAACAAATCCGGGTTACAAACTAAAACCGAGGGAAACACGCAACTATAAGAGGAAAATAACGGAACAACAGAAACACTGAAGTGCAACAAAAACAACGGCCAACATACATAGAAACGGACTATTTGATAACAACTGCCATATTCCTGACTTGGTACAGGACATTTTAAGAAAAATAGTTGTTAAACCATCAACTGAGTATAAAATTAACCAATGATGTAGGGTTCTGCTAGAAGTTAGGAACAGGATTTGACGTTTTTCTTTTGAAATTTCTTAGCAAATATGGATAAGTTGCAGTATTTGGAGCTGTTATTTCATTAATTTATATAGACCAAGAAGAAGGAATAAAACAGGACAAAAAACTTATTTGTCTTTTCAACTTTTTCAGAATTAAAAACTACATTACTTACTTCCCCTTGCCATATTGTTTTCTATGAATCTCTCTGCTTTCCCAAAATTAACCTTTGTTCCTTCTAGCATTTTGGTTTTGTTTAACCAATCAAAACTGTGGTCGAAAAACAAAATATTGAATCTGTCTTTTGTGTTCATATCCTGCATGATTAGCTTCATTGCTTCTTTCAGTTGCTTTATTTTTCTACCTGTCATACTCCCACTTTTGTCCAATACAAACATTACATCTTTAGGTAGAGATTTCAAGTCTTTTGGAGCAAACATATGAACAAAATATCCATTCACTACCTATAAAAGACACAATATAACTTAATACTTTATACGAATCCATGTTTAAATTCTGGTAATAAAGCCCTAAGTAGATGACATTTTGTTTGTTTTTCATTTTTAGACAACAATTATACTTCAATGTTCGAAATGTTTGAACAAAGTAAACGTTGATCGAAGTATACAAACAGATAAATTGGTTCATTATCATTATTAATCTTTGCGATTCGACTGATTTCTGATTTATTTTCTTTCAATAAACACCAATCAGCCGTTCTAATGGTGTGCAATGAACACTAAAGTATTCTTTTTCACTTTTCCAAACGATGTACCTATACGTCAATAATTGGCGAAATATAGGTATAAAATAGGTAAATGTAACGAAAATGTTATTCAAGCTTTTTTACTGACATATACCTAGTATTTAGAAGTATAAAAGTAGAGGTCATGGCTTTAAGACATGTGTTAGCAATAACAAAGATACCAGTAATCAAAACAAAACTGCTGATAAGCTGAAAGTCAAAATAGCTAGGTGACTCGTAGTGAATGAAGATTTTCCATTATCTCAAATCAACGCAAATAACCTTGAGAAAGAATTAACGAAACATCCAGATAGGCATTTTGTAAAATATTAATTCGACGGTATACAAAACGGTTTTGATACCATGGTGTCGAAAACAGAATTACCAACAGTTGAATGTAAAAATCTACAATCAGCTTTCCGAAATCCAGACAGCGTTGATAGTTATAGCATAATTAAACAAGAGGTTGATTAAGGTTATCTCACGGGACCATTTTAAGATCTCCCTTTTGATGGGTATCGTGCGAGCCCAATAGGTATCGTGAAAAGGCAAATGTTCGGTGAAAAAGAGGCTAATAGTTGATTTGTCGTCTCCACATGAAAGTCAAGATCATTCAAGTATTAACGATTTAATCGATAAATATCAATATTCGCTGTCATACGTTAAAATAGATGTTATAATCAACGCAATTAAAGAATTCGGACGATTTTCAATATTAGATAAGGCGGACATTGCCGATGCATTAAGTCAATTAGTAATCAATAGGAAGCTGCATCATTTATATTGTATCAAATGGAGAAATGTACATTACTATTATGTGCTTCTTTGTTTTGGCTCACGATTGTCACCTAAAATATATGACAATTTGTCAGTCGCAATTTGTTGGATAGCCAAGAACAATTACAATATTCCAGTTATACTACAATTTAATTTTATATTTTCAAGTAAGCATATCCCGGGTGTTAAAAAAATTTGATTGGCGATGCACTTTCTCGATTTGATTTTCAGAAGTTCCGGAAAGAAGCTCCGGAAGCAGATGCACAAGCCACAACTTGTCCGCACTTCTCACCCGTAATGTGGAATGACTAATAATGTAAGTTGTTTACTTAAAACAAACTTCAATAGCATCCAGAACACGTACACAGTACGAGTGTTGGTATTCTGCCTATACCATCTTTTACGAATGACTGGGGTGATTTGGAGAAATTCAGACATGCCTCCGTTAATTGGAAATCATTAATTCACTTCGCTAAGCATTGTTTCAAAAACTTGCATTTGAAATGTTCTACAATTAAAATGTATACATGTTGAATACGATATAAATATTTAGAGTTTTGGAAGCCTCCGATATTTATCGACTCGATGCCTCAAATAGAGAAATAAAGAAGAATGAGAAAATATCAACAAAACCTAGAATGTCATATTACAGTTTTTGAGGAAAGGCTATTACACGCTGTCTAAAGACATTTTTTTCTGGAAGCAGCGTGTGTCACGGCATATTTGGGATTTCTTCAATGTATTGAATTTACAGTATTACATTCTTTTGATTCAGAATGCAATGTATGTATCAAAGATATCCGTCTTCATAATGATAAAGTAACCTTTTATTTGAAAGCTTCAAAAACAGACCCATTTCGTGAAGGTGTTGATATTCATTTATTTGCGCCGGGAGCTTCGATTTTCTTAGTCTTATCTCTGGAACGTTACGTGAGTTTCGTAATAGAAAATTTAAGGAGAGTAACAAACAAAACGATTTCTTTGTGATGGAGAATAGAAAAGCTTTAACTAATTCATTTCTTCTCTTAAAAATATACTTTCTGTACTTGGATACACTTCAGACTTGTATAATGGTCATAGCTTTCGCATTGGAGCTAGTACCACAGCTGGTTCAAAAATTGAAGATCAACTTATTCAGACACTCGGACGTTGGAGTTCACAATGTTATACTCGATATATTAGAACATCTTTGTCGACGATAAAACAAGCTTAACAAGCATTAGTCGAGTGAAGATTTAGTGCTTACATATTGTACCTAGGCATATTAATTCGCATATGCTTGCATCTTGATTAATTATTGTTAATGCGTTGGAGTGTTGGGGAATAATAAATCTCGTACATGTATATAGTCTGATAATTCCAATAATATTCCCCATATTATGCAAAGATAAGATAAATATTGAGGTATCATTGTCCTCATTGTGTCTACTTTGGTTACGTGTAAATGTAATGGCTAAACATATATAAACTGTTAATTACCTCTTTCAATGACGTAATATTTTCACTGAATGAGACGATGATTAAACAGTTGAGATCAAGTTATTCAGTATGACAGTTACCGATTTTCTTGATATTTGCACTAACTGATTGATTATGTAGATAATAGAACATTATAGTATAACTGATGCTGAGAACTGTATTATTAAAAGTTCATCGACAAGTTTCAGAAAGTCATGTTAAGGTCAAGTAGAACATTCATAAAGATCGTAACATTTCTTCTCACGTCCCGCTGAGATAAACGGTAGTTAATCAGAACACTTGTGCTCATCATTTGTAAATTTTACTATGTTTTCCAGCACGCCTGAAATTACATACTGATAAACGTGAATATTAAATGTTTTAATTGCCATTTATCTATTCACATCTGATATTACGTTCATTCATATAGTATTTCACATATTGAGATGTATTAATTTGTTTACACATATTCGTTAAATATATAACTATCTTCATTTGGGGTTCAGTTGTCTCCTTTAATAACCAGTCATCAACTGCATTTGGCATATTTTCGTTATTATTAACTCAGTTTACCCAAATTTGATGCAGAGTTATTGATGTTTAAGTTGCTTGTCACAGTTAATGGGACTTATAGCAGTAGTCATGGTTAACATTTAAATAGACCAGACACATGCTAGAAGTTTCCGGAGACTAACTACCAACATATCCTTGTTCTAAGTCATTCCTGACGTCAGTCCATGCATGGACTTCTATCACTGACGTTTTTGATCTACATGCTTGTAGCCATAAACAAGAACAAGTCCAGCAGTCAGTTCAAGTATGTACTTAAAGTTAGTGTACTATCCTTATTCAGAAGTTCAAGCATGAACTCAGGTCTTCTAATTGATATAATTCCCAGGCTTGTCATTCAATAACTGTGACAACAACCGAGACGGCTAAACGTCAAAATGATGTTTATTTTATTTCGTGTATATCATGTAGTATGTATTTTAGTTTTAATTTAACTTTAATAAATATAAATGCTATGTTTTGTTGTGTATAAATTAAATGTTGATAAAGTACTGTTTTTGATGTTATAATTCTTGATATACAAGCACTGAATTCTGCGAATCAAAACTGAAAAGAAATCAAACAATGCAAAATTAAAATATGCATGTCTGCAACAAAGTCCGTTAATACATAAAAACCTAACGAGATACTGCTTAAACACTGATATTTTCAGTACATTGCGCAATAAATTTAATGAAAAATTAATTCTAATACAATACAAAATATACCAATATATCTCCAGCATCTTTGTCCCTGGTAACATCATACTTCACTTTAAACTGTCCAGATATACCTTCTTGTGACATTGCTTTCTGGTCCTGAACACTCGGGGCGTATGTTATGTCTATTCTCTTTGGTGAAATATGTTTGATATTAGCAGATTTACCAACATCTAAAAAAGGAACGATTTTTAATACTTAGATTAAATCGTTTTTATATATAAATAGACTTTAATGAATTAGATAGTCGTTTGATAAATCTTGTTGGAAATTTAGATACATGTACGATCCAGCTAAACTTATCGATCCTTTGAATAAACTTATTCTAAAAGGTTACCAATTCAACACTATAATTAGATCTTTGAATATTGTTTTTATTTGTATAAATATTTATTTTTTAATAAATAAAATGAAAATCAAATTAAATATTACTTATAAATACATATGCACATTCATAGCTCTACAATCTGTCGATACCTGTATATTGGCATTGCACTAGGTCATGTTTGACTGATCATGACGTCTTTACACTAAATCCATTTTATGTTTACATTTGTATCACTTTTTATTGGCTTTGAACTAGCTGTCAGTAACTGCGAGTTCTCTCAGATCTGTACTTAGTGTTTTTCTTGTTGTAGGGATGTATATAAACCCTGTCTGTGTTTTGTTAGATGTTTTTCTACTTTGTATCGATCTGATGAGTTAATCCATATTCAACTGATTTTTATAGTTTGTTCTTATGTTGTACTGTTACACCACTGTCGTAGGTTTGGGGGAGGGTTTGGCGCCAACAAACAAATTTAACCCCGCCACTTTCTGTATTCGCTTGTCCCAAATCAGGAGCCTGTACGTCAGTAATTGTCGTTTGTTGCTGTATATCATATTTGTTTTTCGTTCATTTTTTGTACATAAATCAGGCCTTTAGTTGTCTCGTTTAAATTGTTTTACATTTGTCATTTCGGGGCCTTTCATAGCTGACTATAAGGTATGGGTTTTGCTCCTTGTTGAATGTCGTAAGATGGCCTATATATGTAAAGGACTATGTCATTTGGTCTCCGGTGGAGAGTTGTCTCATTGGCAATCATACAACGTCTTATATTTATATTCAATGTCTAGATGCACAGAATACTGACGGATAGGAGAACTACCTAATACTATCCTTGATTTGTAGGTAATCCCCGCAAAGGATTCCTATAACATGGAAACAGGAAAATAAAATAAAAACTTTTTAAAGCGAATTTAGGATTCAAGCACTAATTGTCCGATCCGTTATTTCACTCCTGTCTATCTTACTGCCATTATTCTTTGACATTGGTTTTAAAACGACACAAGTGATAACGATGAATTAATCATTATGGACTCCTGATTTAAATCACTTACATACATTTTCTATATTTTCTCTGACATTTATGCTGTCAATGTTTCAAATTTATGTTTGCTTTCGAAATTATTGATATACTGGATTAAGTTATTTTTGAAAACCGGACTAGTTATTTTCCTTTTTTATAACTACCACTAGGACTTTTCATTTTCAGTATTGATGCTTCTCAGATTTCCACAGTAGTCCATGCCTCGAGATGAAATTTGTGAAATCTCGTAAAAATAGTTGTAACGTGTAATTGGCATAAGTGACACTAATCGTTTGGCTGACAAAACGTTTAACTGTAGGTCATCAAAGCATCTATTTAGGATATATACTGGAAAGCGCTCCACAAAATATGTGTCTTTTTCTTTTTTTATGTTTGAAGTCGCTGCATGAGTCATATATAATTTTAAAAGCCATTAGACTGATGTCTTCCGATTTTTTGTTTCATAAATACAAACAGTCTTACCAATTTTTGTTTTCCCTTCCAATGGTGGCATTGTTAGATCTATGATTTCTCTGGACTCACTAATGAACACTTTTATTTCAAAGTCTTCCACTATTTGACCAGGATCTACATAAATCACGTGATGATATGATCCGAGGCTCCGTCTCAGCAATTCTTGATATTTCAGTTTGAATACCACTAATGCATTCTTCTCAACATTAACAAGTATGTTAAACTTGTTCGAAGTTCTTGGGCTGTTGAAAGATTACATATCATTGAATTTATTTAACAGAATGCAGGTTTTTAAGTAACGTCTTAGTATTTCTGTTCATCAATAATTTGAGATTAATTTATTTTAATGAACAAAGGAACATACACATGATAAATGCAAATTAATTTCATCAATTTGCTTGTTTTACTATTCTGGTTACTTAATAATTATTTTGTTAAAGATATTACCATATGACATTTTATTGCTTTTTACTTACGACGCAGCAATATGACCAGCACTTTCTCCACGACTTTTCGCCTCTTCAAACTGCCTTTTTGCTTTCTCCTTCTCTTTGACATTACCGGCATATCGTTTGCCACCTATTTCCCTACGATACAGATGGACTTTTTTTAGTTTTCAAAATATACAATTAAGATTACAAGCACAACGGTTTGAATTACAATTTATTAAAATATTAAAGTATATACCATTTGTTTAACATTTTTTGCAAGCAAAGAAGTCACTTTGTATACATATATATACTTATTGAAAAAAACACTACTTGAACACTTAAGTTTGAACAAAGTTAAGCCCGCAAAGGTTCAACTCAGTTGCGTAGAAAGGGTGAACATTTTTTTTGTATTTGTGACCCCCATCATTCCATGCCGATTTGAAATCTTGTGATGAGTAACAATCGTTGATTTTATCAACAAGGAAAGCAGAAATGTGTTGATTAGTTTAGTGGGATGTATTTATGGTCGTCTTCGACACAGCTATTCCAACAATATCAACCAAATGAAGATGGCCATTGCATAAGGATCCATTGTTGCCATAGCCTCATCGTCAGATGAATCATCATTTCAAGATATCAATATGCAAATCAAATCTTCTGTTTCAATATTTCAACGTATTCATGACAAACTGTTTAATGTAAGAAATTACAACTTTCAATTTTTATCGAGCTAAAGTTTTTTGTATTGTTTTGTGGTTGAATTAAACTTGTCAATTGCTGATCATTTGGATCGACCAGAAGAACTGCTCGAAATATTAACGATACACATTTAAAAATAATTTGAGGTCAATACCACTGCTGGTGGACTATCAGTCCCCAAGGTATTATCAGCTTAGTAGTCCGTAATTTGGTACTGACATGGTTCATAACAAACATTTTTTAATTGTGTGTTTATAAATTTATAAATTATTAAGAAACCAAGGTTTCAACTCCCTCAAGCAAAGTTGACTTTAGATGATTTGGCTATTATTTTCTTCCTTTTTGCCAATGTACCTCTCCCAAATGTTTCGGTTCTTATACATCTTTGGCTTTCAAATATTTGGTTTTTGAGCATTCCTGATGAATGCAAATCCAGAAAAGCGCTTCGGACGCATGACATTTTTAAAGTGTTGGTTTCATTTATTTTTACTACACTAATAATCTCAGATGGACAGTAAAAATAATATGTATTTCATATAAAAAGGTTGATTGCATTTTATTTTGTATATAGAAAAAAGAATTAGGTGCATAAATGTATAATCTGTTTACTTTTCATAAGGGCTAAATTGATATTAAAGTAACAATACTTCAATGACATTCCGATCTAAAGTAATCAATAATTACAGTAAATCATTATAGTCTTACATTGTAAAGCCTGTTATAAAAGCTGAATCTGGTAGAGTCATATCAAACATTATTTCTGATGCTTCTTGGTTTACGTTGAGAATTTTAGTCTCCACTACTGTTGTAGCAAATCTGAAGTAGATATCTGATGAAATGTGCATCGACTTTATCTCTGGTTTCGATATCTGGAAAAGAAATTGAGATGAGAGTTTACATCTTTTATTTACCAATTTAAGTCTGAATTGTGTTTCTGAAAACAAAAATATGAAATTTGTGTATGAGAAAAAGTGGTTGATATAAATAAATAAATGGTTATTATTCGGTGGCAAAATGCATATCCGGAACGACTAAAGAGGCAAATAAATTTCGAGGAAGACTGAAAATACGAATATATATCAGGAGCGACGTATATATATATATATATCCTCAATACTTAAAAGGAAGCATAAACTAACCTGTGAAACTTCATGTTCATCAACGAGCGTAAACAGCATGTAAAATAGGTTGAAGTATATTCTGAAACCGTTAGTCACAAACATATTGATATTTCAATGCATTATCAAATTATCAACTTATTCTAACAGTGTTAGTTTTATAACATGATTTTGTTTTTAAAAACAGAAGACGATCCCGGATTTAACATTATGTAATGTGTAATGAATTTAATATGTAAAAGAATTCCCCAAAATATTAAAAATGTAAAATTAGTATGTGACGTTGCTAATTAATGTAACATAAAATAATAATGATGTAAACAGGTGTTTATGTCATTAATTAGAATAGCGCTGTCTAAAAGACCATGTAGATATTTCGCTAGGAATTGATTATTTAGTTTTAATTCAAAGTTATCAGATACATTTAAAAACATTCACACTTTCGCTAAAATATCTCTTATTCGGCCAGGTTTATTTTCTAATTTTCTGATTTTTTCATGACATGAGGTAGCTGCTTACACGTTCGACACAATAGTTTTCAGTTTGTTTGGTGACCATGTATTTTTATTTTATTTTTAAAAGCCATAAGAGTCTGTTCATTCCTCACTATCTGACATATCTATATATATATCTGCAGGGTTTAAGAAAATTTGTTGTTCGACCTGTTAGTCAAATGCGTTTTTGTTAAAATATACTTTTTCACTCCTTTGGTCTTTTGGAAAATGTTGTTTGTGCTGTATTTAGACCCCTCTAACAAGAAACTTGTTTTGCATGTACACGTATAAAAATTGCGGTTTTTATCCATCGAAATCATAGGTTTGAACGTTGTTTTCAATTTAGACTTATTATATATATATATATATATATATACTATCTTTACATTTGACATACATGTGTCCTGTTTTATATGACCCGCTAACAAACAATAATTGCAGACAACCTCTTCCAGACAGTCTTTAGATATATGTCCAAGCTGATGACAATTAAAGCATTTACGGAGTTGTTGGGTTTTTTTCTCTTCATTTGAACGAGGGGTGATCAGTTCCATTACAGAATTTACAGGATGTTCTATTATTATCTGCAAATAGTCTGATTTCATGTTTACTAAATGATATCTTATTAGGAAGTATAGGTACACAGTTTAAAAGCTGTAAATATCTAGTATCATTCTCAATACTGGTGTCTTAAATGACACCTCTCCTGATCGAACCCTGGACCACTTGCCCAAATTGAGACATTTGTTTTGTAACGAAACAGTCACTAAGTTCGTAGGGCAAATCTTTAATTGTGACATTTGTTAATTGTTTAGCTATTTCAACAAAATTAACTGACATGTCTCGAATTTCAATTCCAACGGTCATCAATCTATCCCTTTCTTTCACAGTAACAACACAGTTTTTCTCTGTAAGTTGTATAGAGTTAATAGTATCTCTAGAGACCACCTCTTCAGTTGCACAGAGTACTTCGTTGTGTTTTAAACCGTATAAGTACTTTGTTGAGAAGTGGATAGATAAGTTTCTATTAATATCGCCCATTTTCTACTAGTGAGTACTCCTCAGATAAATGTCCAAAACACAATATCAGTAAAAGTCATAAATCAGATCTTTTTCTTCGATTTGAATATTAAGTCATCGTTAGTAACACTTGATCTGCATAGCTCTCTAAGATGCTTATAATTACTTAAAAGTAAAATCACAAAAATACTGAACTCCGAGGAAAATTCAAAACGGAAAGTCCCTAATCAAATGGCAAAATCAAATGATAAAACACATCAAACGAATGGACAACAACTGTCATATTCCTGACTTGGTACATGCATTTATTATTTTTCCGGACCCCCGAAAGTTCAGACTCTCTCAGGACCGGTAACTCCTCCTCCGAGCACATGGTATTGACTTCAAGGAAGTGACTAATAAGCCTAACTTCTTATGGAAGCATTGTATTGTTAAAAAATGTAAGTGATTATAACAATAGAAGATATATTTCATGTCATTATCATTCAAATCAGGAATAGTTGATTATACGTGGGCAATAATCCACGACTTAGAAGTATTTGATACATATGTTTGTAACCAAATCATTTGACCATTAAAAAGCCGCTGGTCACTTAAACTAAATCAAATAACCAGACAAAAAAATTTCAAGAGATGCATGATTTTTGTATTTTAATGCTACAAATCACGAGATACTGTCCCTTCTCAGTGAAAAATAGGGAGGATCAACCTTTAAAAACACAGTGCTTCAAACATTCATGTATAGCTACTACTGATTGCTCCTCATAAAAATGTCCAAATAAATGTGTTTTTTTTGTAGAAATACTTTCAGTGAAAAATAGGGAGGATCAACCTTTAAAAACACAGTACTTCAAACATTCATGTATAGCTACTACTGATTGCTCTTCATAAAAATGTCCAAATAAATGTGTTTTTTTTTTTGTAGAAATACTTTCAAAAATTGGATTTTGTTTTCTCAAATAGTCAGTTTGTTTTTGAATGAAATGATAATAAAAGCTGAATCAATCTTTTGTCCTATTTCAGTTTATAACGCATCATTCTAGTTTAATCTGGATTACTGGTCAACAATCTAATTTATCAAGCAAGTTCTTTATTGTACAAATGTATATTAATGGTATTTATAGAATTGACATTACAGCCAGGATCTTAACAATTCCTAATATGAAAACTGTTGCTTGATATTGTATAACAACGCTTAGTTACTGATCTTTTGAATCGACATTTTGAATTAAACCCCTAGGCAACTGTTTGTTATGTAACACTGCAAAAAGTGTGTAGCATTATCTTAAGAAGATGTTTTAAATATATCTTATGACATCATAATGTCTGTATGCGTAAGATGTTATAATGTTTACTTAAAAACCAATGTGCCTTTCTTACTTATTAATAGTTCACATTGAAATACACTAAAGTAAACCTTTAGTTTTGAAAAGAACTGTGCAAGGACAATTTGTTTTTAAATGTCCACTTCATAGCGATTTTATTTATATGATAACAATGGTGTTGACCTTTTTATGTGGTTTCCTATGATTGAAAGTACTAAGTTTGCATTGCTAACAATAAGAAAGTATTTTTAGGGTTTTCAAAGAATTCAATATTTTTGCATAGCATTTCATTTCTATTGCACTTGCAGACATCATCAATAGTGTATGTTATGCTTTAACAGTTTCTGTATTTGTTGTAATTGAAAAAGAGGGACGAAAGATACCAGAGGGACAGTCAAACTCATAGATCGAAAACAAACTGACAACGCCATGGCCAAAAATAAAAAGACAAACAGACAAATAATAGTACAGATGACACAACATAGAAAACCAAAGACTAAGCAACACGAACCCCACCAAAAACTGGGGGTGATCTCAGGTGCTCCAGAAGGGTAAGCAGATCCTGCTCCACATGTGGCACCCGTCGTGTTGCTTATGTTATTACAAATCCGGTAAATAATCTAATTCGGTAAGTCACGTTCGTGAAAAGGGAAGGTATTGTAGTTATTTTGTGTGAATGTTATCATCAGATTGTTCATCTCTATTGTGATTTGTGAAGGTATAGTTAAAGACATCAATTATACTTACACATTTTGCTTACAATTAATGAATATAGCGATATTAAGTCAATTCCATAAAGTGCTTAAACAACCTAATCTTCTTTCAGAAATGGACTAAATTACACAGATTTATTCTGACAATTATACCAAATATACTCAACATAGATACAGTTGTGTACGTAAGACGAATGTTTCGTCTACAAAAAGACTCACCAGTGACGCTCGAAGAAAAAAGTTAAAGGCCAAAAAAAGGGCGAATTTGAACAGTATTGAGAACCCAAATTTTCGTAAGTTTTTGCTAAATACAGGTAGGTAAATCTATTCCTGGGGTAGAAAATCCTTAGTATTTCGAAAAATTTTGAGTTTTGTAAACGGTTAGTTTATAATTATGACCATATAAATGATAATTCATGTCAACACAGAAGTGTTGACTACTGAGCTGGTGATACCTTTGAGAAGAAAACCTCCACCAGCATTGGCATCGACCCAGTTGTTGTAAATAAACTCATAGTAGACCACACAAAAATATTTGAACAATCAGAACTATGAATTTCAATATGATATGTAAACAAACAATCTCTTTGCAGAGATATAGGACATGTGCAATTTTAAACAAGTAAGGATATTTTACCTCGAGAAGCCGCATCAGAAAAGGATTTTCGTGGTAAGCGAAATTACGGAAAACTTAATGTCACGTCGCACCCCAAAAATTTAACCCTATAAGTGAAAATGTCTAAACTTCGAAACGAGTCATCATACATATCCAAGTTTACGATTTTCAAAGTTTAGGAATAGAAGAAAAGGCTCCCATTGCCGTATAATATATTCAAAATATTATGTGATGTACTGGGATGTCAATACTCTTGAAGCTGAAGTTGAATTTAATCAACAAGTTTTCAAATATACTTATCATGACTTCAAAAGAGTGGAATAGTCATTTAAATATTGCCAAAAAAGTTCTGAGTAAAGTGAAGAAAAACACTTCCCGACACGACGTTAACTTTTTACCGGAACCGACTGGATCTTGATCATAATCCTTAGTAAGATATTACAGGTATTGTTAGCTTTAATAAGTAAGATTAATGCTCAAACATTTTTTGTAAATATTGAGAACGCCAGATTTGTATTTATACGTGTAATTTTTAATTAAAGCTTGTAAATTTAGATCTAGTTAAGATACTGGCATGTGTATTTCTCTTAACTTTATGCTTTGGTTAACAGTTATGGCATATCAATTTCACAGATAACCACGGATATTTTTTACAAATCCCGTCCTCTATTACTCGATTGGTATATCACTTAATTATCACTGATTTCCCGGAACTGTTAGCCTTTCTGGATCAGCTGAATGTCCTCCCAGATTTTGTTTGTGTTCGTGTTGCTTTATCTTATGTTTAATGAATAGTCTTGTGAGGATGTTTTTGTCTGTTTATATTTTTTCATTTGGCTATTGTGTTGTCTCTTTTTCAACATACAGTTTTTTGTTGCAGGTTTCTTCTCATTTTTTTTAGTAATGAATACGTTGAAAAATATCGATAACTAGAAATTAATATGCACAACTCGGATATGACTAGTACTGTTTCGTTGACAATATGGTAACAAGTCATGTTAATAGATATATTGGTAAA